CGCTCAGTCAGCGATCATCAACAGCAAAGCGTCTCTGAAGTCAGAGAGGGACTATCAAACGATTTCCCCAAACCCTTGATCCCAGAGTATGCTAATCAGAAGATCTCTGTTCTTTCTTTTCTCATCTGGGAAAAAAAATGTCAAGAAAAATGAATTAATAGTATAGGTAATGTGTAAATGTGTGATTGAGTATATGCATGTGTGAAGATAACGTGTGAACATCTGTATATGGACATACGTGAATATGTAAACAGTGTGTGTGAATACTAGTATATGCTCCTGTGTCGATTTTGTCTAAGTATCCCGAGCTAATCCATTGTACCTCTGGAGATTCTCTACCCTATGTTGCTTTGTACCTGAATAAGAATGTGTCTATTTAGTAATGAGGCTCCAAAAGGCTCAAACTTTGTTCCTCTACAGTATGCTGTTTTTAACACCTAGACATATACAAGTGGGTTTATGAGGAGAGAATGCAACACAAGAGAGCTAGAATCTTGAGAACAGTAGCCTTGCCTGCTAGTTTTTGTTTTGTTTTGTCAGCTTGACAAAAGCTTGGGTCAACAGGGAAGGACAGATCTTCATCGAGAACATTTCTCCCTGGGACTACGATGTATGTTCTTAATCAATGGTTGTTAAGGGAGGATACAGCTCACTATGGGGGTGGGGAGCTGCCCCTGGGTTGGCGGTTCCAGTTCTATAAAATGAAGGCTGAGTAAGTGGTCATGGAGAGATGCATCGGCTCCTGCCTCCAGGTTCCTGGCCTGGACATGTGTGAATGTGGGAACATTGTGTGTGAACGTTCTGACCTCACTTTCCCCGGGAATAGAACGTGACCTAAGAGCTGTAAGATGGAATAAGCCTTTTCCTCGCCCCCAGCTAAGACTGCCTAATAGCAATGAGGAAAAAAGGCACTGGGAGGGTGGTTCGTATGTGCATGGAACCGGACGGAAGAAAAGTGATCCTGCAGCTCCATTTGCTTTAGGATTGAGTTCATTTTGGTGGAATAAGGAAGGGTGCGTTAATGGTTGAAATAGTATTAGAACTGCTAGAATTCTGACCTTACCTTATGTCCCCAGTGTTTTACATTGAGAAAGTAAGATGTGCAGCTTATGCTATGAACTAACAAATCAATACCCATTTTAGTATATAAAGGTCTCATCTAAAATACTCCAACTATGTGTTTTATTTTTCAGCAGCTCCTTGCATTTCCTGTATTTACTCATCTGTCCACCTATCTTTTCGCCATGATTCTTACACAAGGACCACTATTTAAACAATGAAATCACGACACAAACATAATCTTAGGCAGAAAATATTCTCACACATATAAATCTCTCAGAAATCAACACACTAAATCTCAATAACTTTATATCACCATGTATAATTTTCAGGATATTTAAAATTTTAAAGCAGATGGTTAAGAGAAACAAGACAAGTCAAGAAAATGATGCTGACTGATCACTACCAGGCAAGCCAAATAAAAAGAGCCATTACAAAAAAGCTGGAAGCCAAAAAAAAAAAACCAAAATAAATAAAATAAAATTCTGTGTATTAAAGCACCCGAATCTATTCCTAATTACTTGCACAAAACACCAGAAAAGAGTGATCAGATAACACATCCATACACTAATGTGTATATTTGTTTATCTGACACCAGAGGCTCCTTGGGAGCATCATCTACACGTCTACCAGCAGGTACAAACAGGCAGCGATGGCCTTCAAAACTCGCAAACAAGTGTATTTTCCATTCTCCCACATCTCCTAGGATGTGTGAGCTTTTTTACTGAATTCAATGCGTGTCCTTAGAACTATGTCCCTGAGGCTGCCGAGGCAGCCCACTGTCACAGTGCTTGCCTAGGAGGCACACAGCCCTAAGTCTCATTCCCAGCACTGTGAACCGATGTTTGTGTGGGTATATGTGTGTGTGCATACGTGTGACTATGTGTACGTGTATTTGTGTGCATATACACGCGTGCATGTCTGTGTTTATATGCATATGTGTACACACATGTGTGTATGCATGCATGTATGTGGGTAGAAACTTCAGGAACATTTACAACAAACACATGGCTTTTTAATGATCATTTATCCACCACCCTTGTGCCTTACCACATTGCTCTCTCTGAATTTTAATTATCAAGATATTCTCTTTAAAGCACATCTCAACTCCTGTCCATTTGCAAATTCCCACAAATTACACTGTGAAATTTCTGGCATCGTGCAGAAAGGCCTAGGTAATTTGTGTGCCTTCTGCCTTGAGTTTCTCGCGTCTCTGGTTATTTGCGCAACTCTGATCCCGCTCTTGCGGCCACTTTCACCTTAGCCATTTTCTTCCCCTAACCAATTCTCTACTGCTGATACCAGTCCAAATCCACGCCCACGTCCAGCTTAATTCTACATTGTTTTGTGAAACTTTCCACCTCAAAAGCATCTCTCTCTCCTTACTTTCCCCTTCTCTCTCTGCCCCTTCTCTTCACTCTGCATGCCAGCCATCTGCTCTAGCGGGGCTTACCATGTCCCACACTTCGTGAGACCCGCTGCAATTCCCAAAGGTTAAACCTAGACTACTTATTGTTTGGCCGTTATTTCTTCATTCCCGATTGGTTTTGCGCAGTGATCAAGCAAGCTCTTAATTGAATGCGTGACTTCGAAAACAAATGATTGTTGTGGTATCTCAAGCCTATGTTTTCTGCTGTTTCCTGCAAGGGTTACCCCTAAAATAAAAACCATTACTACATATGATGTTCTTTTTTCATGACAGGTCACATGTCATAACTCTCATGTATATGTGTGTTCTACAGTACAGTGTTGACTAATCTGCTTCTGTGAGGAAGAAGACACTTCACACAGCTGTCAATCATATCTACCCAGGGGCCTTTGCTCTCCAATGTAACTAAGCCCTAATTTACGTTCAAAATAAACTTGTAGCTCCAGAGCCAGAAGAAGTACTCCCATAAGATTGCAAAATGAGGAGGCATGAAAGAATGTACTATGGCTATTCTGTGTACAGTTATTCTAATACACTTTAAAACTGTTCCATGTTGTGGCCTATACTTTCAATTTACCTGTCACTAAGTCTAGAAAAAAACTAGGATACCCCCACTCATAGACCATGAACTAAGACAAATAAACAACATTGTTAAGCGCATCAACTATTAGCTTAATACCACAACAGCTGGATAACAAAGTCATAAACTATGCACTGATCCACACTACCACCCTCCCCTCCTTCCTCTGTTCATTTTAATGCTGTGTAGGGTTCTTAAAGCACCGTTCAACACATTTTGCTTTCATTTGACATCCAGTGCAATGACATCTGACGTAGTGACACACTAAACACTCACCACAACTAGTTTTCTCAAGATCTGAAATTCCCAACTGAAAATTTTTAGGCAGTGAGTGGATCTTGAATATATTAACTTGTTACCCTAAGACCATAAAACATAGCTTTTGAACAAAAGTATATTATAAAGTTAGAAATAAGTGCATAATGCACTAAAGCCATGTTCCTTCTGTATTTCTATGCTTCATGTTGTACTACCCGAATACAAAGGTGTCCTGAGTGCTATACTTTGGAGGAAAGGGACAGAAAAAAAAAAAAAAAAAAAGAAAAAACAAATGAAAAAAAAAACCATTGTTACTTTGTTACTTCTCTTTCTTTTTTATGGCACTGGAGACCAGTACTGTTAATCTAAGTATGGACTTGGCAAATGTTGGGTAGGTGTGCACTATGCTACTGACTTAGAAGTCCCTCATGTCATTATTTTTTTAAAAATTTTTAATTATAAAAATAAATTTGGTATAATGTGTTTCCTATACACCCCTAAATAGCATATATTTAAATGTATATCTTATCCACGAGTACACGAAATTGCTCTCATTTATTTACTTGTAGGTATTCAGTCTCTACAATTTGCTGAAAAGTTTCTCACAATACCGTCCACAAAACACCTGTTTTGAAATGATTTGAAGCACTATTCTTCAGCGTGAATACCCCAAGGTTCGACTCTAGCCAAGACCTGTCAGAACTCACTGGAGTGAGGCACTAGAGAGTATGAATTGAAAGCAAGTTTGTTCATGTGATCCCAACGTTCACCACGTTGATAAGGAAAGCATAGCCACTCACATTCTCAGCATTGTATGTGCAGGAAAAAAGTTGCCAATCGATAGCTTCCAAAAAAATATATTGTTTACAAACACCCATTCCTAGGATTTCTACAGTGACACTAAACAGAAAATCAACCAACACGTTTCATAAATTCACGGCATCACTTAGCTTCTGACTTCTTGGCGCATTAATGTGGGGTGGGGGCACTGTCTCCGCACCTGGGGATACTGACCTCCTATTTCCACGGGTCAGAATATTGGATCTTGTCGGCACAGGCATAAACCCTGACACTGGAATGCCAAACCTTCCAGAGTCCTGGCAAGGAGGCCTCCTCAAAGAGCGCAGGGCAGGGCTCCGTCAGCACCTAGGACAGCGCCCGGTGGAGGAAACCGGGCCTCAAAACAGCGGCTGAGACCCGGGAAACCCACCCTAGAAGCCTCAGGACACAAACTACAGTCGTTTGTTCTTCTCTCCCTCGGTCAGCAGCTCTTTCCAAATGACCACGAAGGAAACCCTAAGTACCTTTCACCTAGGAATGTAAGCCGCCCCCACACCCAATCTCCCTTCACAGCCCTCAGCGCCTGTTGCTAAGGGAGGGGAAAAGGCGCTCAGGAAGCCTCGCGACCAAGTGACAGCCCTCCTGAGAGGCTGTATGCATCAGGCGGCGCTGAGGACCGGGACTCTGAGCCAGCCTAGGACCCCGCGACAGGCCCGGCGCCCACGAGCGTGCAGGGAGCGGGGCGAGCAAGAGCCTGGCGCCAGGGCGCGCGGCTTCCCCTGCGGACCAGGAAGCTCAGGCCGGCTCAGGCCTCCAGCCCAGCACGGGAGACGTGTACGGGCCCAGGCGGCCAGGGAGGGCCGGGGACGGCTTGGGGAAGCAGCAGGCACTCACCATGTTGACTTCAGAAACCATGTCGATGCTGGCGATGTCGATGTTCATCCCCACGCAGACTGGGGGACCTGCGGGAAGCGCAGCACACCGTGATCAGGCAGGCTCCAGCAGGGGGTTACGGGTGGCTCTGAGGATGGGGGGGGGACTCGCAAAGGACCACCCCCACCCCACCGGTGCAGCTCCGCGGAGGCCGCCCCCGCCTCCCTCTCCACCCAGACCGCCAGCACAGAGGATCGCGCTTCCCGCAGCGGCCGCGCGCACCCCACTTACCCCCGAAGTCGGGTCTCAGACGAATGTCGTAGCCTTTCAACAGCTTGTCGACTGTCTCCTTCACAAAGGACATGTTCCCGGGGTCGTTTACGCTGAAAAAGGGTCACAGGGCACAGAGAAGAGGGTCAACAAACGGTGGTTCGCCCGGCGCGCACACAGCGCGCCAGCCCGCGCCCGGCCCGCTGCCCGTCAACCCACCAGCGACCCTACCTCTGGGCGCAGCAAACCACCGCCACCAGCACCGGGGCCGAGAAGATGCCGAAAAGCCTTCCTCCCGCAAAGCCCCACATCCCTTCGCCGCGCCCCGGCACGGGGGAGGGGGCGCCCCGCCGCCGTCGCGACCCGCAGCCGGGGCTGCTGCTGCTGCTGCCACCGCCGCCGCCGCGCTGGCCCAGAGCGGAGGAGGCGGAGGGGGAGGGGGAGGGGGAGGAGGAGAGCAGGGGGGAGGAGCGGACCGGGAGGGAGGAGCCCTGGCGCGGCAGCGCTGGGCGGGCGGAGGCGGGGGCGGAGCCGGCCAAGAACAGCACCCGCCCCCTATGTGTCCGCGGTCGCGGCGGGGCTCCGGACACCCTCTCCAGCTGCGGTGTAGCGGCTGCTGGGCTCGAGACTCGCGGGGAGGAGCTGGCATGCGACCGCAGATCCGCTCTGGTCAATGCAGGCGAGGGCCACGGCTACGTGGCGCCTGGCGAGGCGGGGGATGGGCCACAGAGTCAGCTACCCTGAGCTCCCTACAGCCTAGAGGAGGGATGGGACCCTGAGATGCAACCGGAGGGCAGCCGAGGCGTGGGAAATGCTCAGCATCCCCAGCTCTATCCCACCCTCCACCTCCAACCCCGCCCTGCTCTGCCGGAGACCCACGGAGCTCTGCGCGCTCGCTGCCTGGTCAAGAGCCATACTGCAGAGCTGTGAGGAAGCCCCATCCTCACCTGCTGGGCTCAGATCCTCGGATCCCCAGGGTCCAGGAAAGCCAGATTGACAGCAGCAGGGCCTGGAGCCCGGGGCACATGGCGTTGCTCCTCTAGCCTAACCTGAGTGAGATCTGCTCCACTCCACCGTCACTGAGCTAGGAACCAACGGCGACGTGGGGATCCCCGCCTCCCTCCGCCCCTACTCCCACCCCCCACCCCCGGGCTTTCCCGCCTGACCCATCTTCCAGCCCCTTGCATGGCGGCCCGATTATCTATTTATCAAATATGACTATGTAAAAAAGGTGCCTTTCCCTGTATCTCCTGCACAACCATGTGAGGCTGATTTTTTTTTTCTGCACACATAAATGCATTCGTAATTAACTATAAAGAGAATTCTTGTCGATAAACTGCAATCCAAGCCAGACTTAAGAGACCCTGGCCTCTCATTCCAATGACGTAAATAACGTGTCTTTTCAGGCACACACCAGAAACATCCACACGTATGTTAAGGTAAAGATCATTGTTTTGCATGTGACTGGCCAGCATCCTTTGGCGGTCATTACAAAACTGTTCGAATATTGATGAAAAACAAGAGCCGGTACACACCTCGATTGTGTCACCAGTGTACACCCGCTGGTGCCCATTCCACCTGAACATCACTGTAATACACTGACTGCTGCCTGCCCCACCCTACAGTACACCCAGGGGGTGGCTACTCACCTGTGGGCACAGGTTGCCTGTTTTTCCATAGTGAATGATAATCTGCAATAGAGTTTCCCTGTACCTGGGCTTCTAACATGGAGGAAGAAGATGTTCACACCATCCTACTATAGTCAAACAAGGAGACCCAAGATCAAGTATGTTTCTGGTTTCTGTACACTGGTTCGGATGTCCAGGCTGTGATGAGTGCTTAATAATATAAGTACTTCCCAGTATTGACTCATTTTTTTTTCTTTTTTCTTTTTCTTTCTTTCTTTTTCCTATCTTTGCTTTTCTAGTCCCAAGAATTATGTCGGTAAATATCTAAATCTAGACTTTCATTCTCAAGCTGGCAATGTTTCTGTGCATTAATTTTAAATATTGTTGCTTTTCTGAAATTCAGCAGTTTTATTTTTAGAACTGTGGATGTGACTGCATTACCTGGAAGGTTCGGAGATAAATATAGCTCCCTAATTATTTTCTGGAAAAGTCTATTCACAAGTGCTTTGTATTCTGTGCCGTGTTCCTGTGCACTAGAATTATCTGCAAAGTGGCACCTTCATTATGACACACGTTTATGATTAGCCAGTGTCTCCTGTTTGCATGCACTAACTTTAGTGATGCATCCTGCTGGGAATTGTTGCTATGAAAAATAAATGAGGGATCGAGAGAAGCTGTGAATATAAGCTAACAGTGTATCAGGACTGTCTTGCTTCTTCCTGGTCTATTGTCCTATGATTGGCAGAGAAGCAGTGCTAGTCAGTCCCACCTTAGATCTCTGCTTCTGCCGCTCTCTAGAGTCCTCTGCCTTATTAATCACAAGCTGTTACTCCCACGCTTACTTCTGTGACAGTTCTGACCAACCTTATATGGGAGCAATCCCTCAGTTTCCCTTAATTACATATCTTGTCCATTTCCTCGACTGATGAGGAGAGAGGATAAAATGTGCCCTGCTCCAAATGGCCCTATTCACTTGCTGAAATCCCAGCAAGTCAGAGGTCGTCAGATGGACCTTTGGCCAACAGAAAGAAGGTGGTGGTGTATACACACACTTCAAGAAGCCTGGCTCAACCTCTCAAAGCTGATCCTATGAGCCAGACCTCTCAGCTCCCCGGGCTCAGCCATGGCCTGTTTGCTGGCAAATCTTCCTGTTCTCCCTTTCCAAGTCACAATGTCTTTTTTTTTTTTCTTTCACTCCTATTTTAATTGCTGCTGCACACCTTAGTATAGAAATGTCACTTAAATTTTGCCTCAGGTACGTTTTCTGGGGAATCCAGGCTAAGCCTGGAACCACCTGGTAAGTCATTAAAAATACCACTTAAAATACAATCACCTAAAAATAGGAAAGAAAAAAATGTAAAAGAATACACTCATGTAACCACTAAAATCCAGTTGCATGACACAATAATGCCCAAAGGTATGGGCATTAATTAGTAGGTATGCCCAAAGTCTGAATGAACACTAAGCTCTACACACCATGTCCTTCAACTCTTGCTGGAGTTACACCTTGATTAACTGGTGAACATGTGTTGGTCAATTCAGGAGGAAGAGCAGTCTTATTTAGCACAGTAGAGCCTATATGCCAAGAGGATCGGTCATTTTCCTAAGTAGCATATTATAGGAAACAAAACGGGAAGCATCAGACCACATGCAAAGGACTGTGGGAAGCTTGAAAGAGCACATACAGGAAGTTAGGAAACCAAATTAATTCCACCTCTGCTATATTAACAAATCACTTCCTTGCTTCATAGCTCATTTTTTTTTCTTGTTTCTGAGCTGGGACAACAGTGTGTGTGTGTGTGTGTGTGTGTGTGTGTGTGTGTGTGTGTATGTGTGTGAACTGTTTTTATTATTATGTACAAATTGTACAAAACAAAGTTTGACTTTGGCATCATATTGCTTTCACTTACTTTCGACAGAAAGGCAAAAGGACTTTATTAAGCAGTTCATGGGTGGGTAAATGTTCATGACATAAGACATAGGAGGCAAGCCAGGCAGTGGTGGCACACGCCTTTAATCCCTGCACTCGGGAGGCAGGTGGATCTCTGTGAGCCAGTCCGGTCCATAGTGAGTTCCACAACAGGCTCCAAAGATACACAGAGAAACCCTGTTTCAAAAGAGAGAGGAAAAGGGGAAGGAAGGAAGGAAGGAAGGAAGGAAGGAAGGAAGGAAGGAAGGAAGGGGAAGATGACATTCTGATCCCAGCTAGGCAGTTTTAAACAGGCTAGGATTCCTTGTTACCTACGCCTCAGGTGGAGTGATGAGATTTTCTAGATTTGCTCGGAGTACAAGTTTTGTGGGGAAGCCAGTGTGTCCCTGTTTGAAGACACATTCGTGACATGAGCATGACCGTGTCAAGGACCCCAATGTCTCATGCCTCAGACTCACGGGAATGGCAAGACCTTCCCTTGGTCTCAGTGCAGACGTTAACACTGGGTGCAGGAAACATCAACCACAACTTCTTCCCCCTGGGTTACCAAAGCCAGAAACTGGTCCCTGTAGAGAGAGCTCCTGTCTACCCAGATTAGCGAACCCAGGACCTACCGCTCATCAGGCTGCATCTGATAAACTCTCGCTGAGTTTCTAGGCAGCTTGCGCTTCTCCGTGAGAGTGCGCATCATCTCACGCAATCCCAGCTAACCTGTACGTGCCTCACTCTTGTGTCTTCATCCCTTGCCACACAGTCAGATCATTCTTACAACCGTGTAGATCGCGGCAAATTTTTCATCGCTTTTTTCTTACTGATTCTGCGGACTTGATTAGCATCCGCTGCAATATCCCTACAGCAGTTCCACTAACCTGGAGCTTGTCTCTCTCAGTTTCCTTAATGATTTTTCTGTAGTGTTTATGGTATTCCAGGGCCAGGTACTTTGTTATGCTTACCCAGTTCATTCACTCCTGCAGTGAACTCCAACTGCTTTCTCTGTTAGGCGGTTTGTTCTTGTTTAATCCAAGGCCTTGATGCATATCATGAAAGTATATGTTTGAGATCTGTCTATTTAATGTAAGCAGTCATAGTGAGAGATAGATATTCCTCTAAGAACTGCTGCCTTTGTTGTATCCTAAAGGTGATGACATTTTCATTCCATCCTATTCTTCTGCTTGCCTCCAGTTTTGTCGATGACACTGGTCATTCCAGAGTGTGTTATTCAATATTTGTATAGTTCTCTCTCTCTCTCTCTCTCTCTCTCTCTCTCTCTCTCTCTCTCTCTCTCTCTCTCTTTCTCTCTCTCTCTCTGCATTTCTTGTGCTGTAAAGCTTCACTTTTATTCTACTATGATCTGATAAGGATACAAGGAACTGTTGTAATCATTTCATATTTGGTGAGATTTGCTTTATTTTTCCTGAAATGTCACCTATTTTAGAGAAAGTTCCATGGGTTGCCAAGAGGATGAGTATTTCTTGCCTGCTAGACAGAGTAACCGGTTAAATTCGTTTAATCTATGATGCAGAATTATTCTGAACTTTATTGATTTTTGTCTGTGTAACCAATTTATTGATAAAGAGTAAAGTTTAATACTTCAGTTAACAATAGCCTACTATGTTTGTAACAGGCCCTTTGCATTCATTTATGTTCATTATTATTTGTTTATATAACATGGAGAGGCTCCAAGATTCAATGCGTATGCATTTCAATTGTTAATCTTCTTGGATTCTTCCCTTTGTTAAAATGTGGTGACTTTCTTTACTACTTCTGATTGCTTTTATTTCAAATGACTTTGTCAGATTGCAACTGTCCTACCAGCTTACTTGGGCATCTATTTGCTCTGTAAATCCTCTTCTGTCTTTTCATTTTTAGCT